TAAGGGTCAGATAGTTGTTTATTTCCTTGACATCTGATGGGAGGGCTTTCCACAGGGCAGGTACCACTACTGAGAAGGCCCTCTGCCTGGTTCCCTGTAACCTCACTTCTCGCAATGAGGGAACTGCCAGAAAGCCCTCGGAGCTGGACCTCAGTGTCCAGGGTGAATAATGGGGGTGGAGACGCTCCTTCAGGTATACTGGGCTGAGGTTGTTTAGGGCTTTAAAGGTCAGCACCAACACTTTGAATTGTGCTCAGAAACGTGTTGGGAGCCAGTGCAGGTATTTCAGGACCGGTGTTATATGTAATGGATCACAGCAATCAAGACTGGCTTTTACCAAGACATGCATAACTTTTGCAAGTCTGTCTTTGCTTAGGAGAAGTTGCACCTGGCACACCAAGCTAAGCTGTTGAACGGCACTTTGTGCCATGGAAGCCGCTTGGGCCTCTACAATAAGGGCCAAATCTATAACAGAATCCCCAGGCTACAATCTTGATGCATTAGAAGAAAGTGCAGTTATATCCGGAACAGATGGAACGCCACCATTACCTACCAACAGTATCTGTCGTGTATGAACATAAATTAGGTTGATAACTAAATAAATGCAAAGGAACACTGTTCTCATCAGAACACTACAACTTAATGATCTGTTAAATGGGGACTACAATGACTTGCCACGCTAAAGAGAATGATTAATCAAAGAACATCTGTGCATGTTACAGCTTTTCCCCAACATGCAAACTACATTAACGTAACATAGTCCTGCAAGATGGCCAACTGTTATGTCTGAGCACCATCCAGCCAAGGTTAAGTTCAGGTCTCAGTGCAACAAGTCCGTGCACTTGACACCTGAAAAATTATCCAGTGGAAACTCTCCACGTACAGAAGCAAGGCTGAAAAACTCTGTATCTGGAACGGATATAATATGTTGATGCAATAAACACATGAACTGCAGTACTGTGAATTTTTTTCCCAGGAAAAGACTGCTATCTTGTGGTGTATAACAATGCACAACTTTCTTCACGAAGCGAAATGGGTCGCCTCCTAAAACAGGAAACCACCAAATGCGCAACACATGTGCTTGCAAACAATCTTGCAAGTACCTGGGTTACGATTTGCTTGGTTCTTTCAGTTCCAAAAGCATTTGTCTTCACCATGCACCAAGCAACACTGAAAATTGCTACTTACAAGGGCTGGGGAGAGAACACAACTAGCTTCTTAGATTCATAGGCATCTTCCTTTGTAGGAGACAAGTTAGAAGCAGCTAACCTTTGGCTGTTAAGCAAGGGATACAAACCCTGGGTACATCTTCACTTCAGCTGCCTTCAACACGAATATCAACTGTCTGTTCACTAATGGTTCCTCATCATCCTGGAAAAAAGTGACAAGTATAGTTTCCGGATCAAGAGAAGTAATAATCCTGTTCTATTCTGCCTTGGTATGACCACACCTAGAGTACAGTGTCCAGTCCTGGGCACCACAATAAGGAGGATATTGACAAGTTGAAACATGTTCAGAGGAGGGTCTGGAAAGCAAGCCTTATGAGGAATGGTTGAAGGAGCTGGGTAAGTTTAGCCTGGTAGACTGAAAGAAAATGTGATGGCCATCTTCTAACATCTGAAAGGCTGTCCAATGGAAGATGGAGGAGCCTTGTTTTCTCCAGCTCCAGAGGCTAGGACCAGAACCAATGGGTTCAAGTTGCAAGGAGATTCCAACTAATCATAGGGAATAGAATTGTGGGCACTAGTTTGTTAAGGGTTTCTGGCAATTATAACTACATTGCCCAATGACAGAATGCACTTTGTACTTTAAAGGTATATTGTTGACGCAGTCATGCTGATCTTCTCTAATTGGGACTTCACACACACTTTCAAATAAGTCCCTGAGGATTCACTGGGTTCCCTGGAAAACTACTATCCAATACTCTTTCAGCAGAAGCTTTGTTCACACAGGCATTATCAGATTCAAAATATTTGGCTATTTGATGCACAGAACATGGAGACGAAAACCACCCAGCTGGGTAAATTCAGAATGTTCAGAAGAGGGGTATAGCAATATGATGTGTCCTTCTCCACTCAATCACTGCCAAGGAGAAAACACTGGTGGCCTTTGGTCTCCCATATTTTGGTCTCCCATATTTATAATTAATTTGTTTCTCCAGACTACAATTTGACCTCAGACTCGCATAAATTAAAGGTGGCTGCTCAGGTTTTGCTTGAAGCTATTCTAGACAAAACACAATTCTACCTGGGGGAGAAATTTTGAACATCGCATTGACAGCACTGGCTTTGTTATCCACAATTATGGCAAGGCACCATAAAACAAGACGGTGGAAAATATTGGCGTAATTAATTTGGAAATGTTCTCTGGGGTGTTGTGTTCATTAGTATTTGAAGCCATTTTAATCCCCTCTAGAGGAAAATATGTAAACAGCAATAGTTGCTGCTGAAAACCAAGGTGCCTGCAAAGAAGAATATGACTTTAGGGAAGTCACTAGGAAACCAGAATTGATGGGCCTCAACTCTGCTTTTATGTGGCATTGACAATCCGAACAGCTAGGGGGTGCTTGTTTTTTCTGGTATATTATTTAATTCTAGTATTATTATTTAAATTTCTATACCTCCCTTCATCCAAGGATCGCAGGGCGGTTTACAATAAAAAACATAAAAGTGCATAACATAGTAAGAAACAAAAACATTACCCTCTCCCAGTTAAAGGCCATAGATTTAATTACCGGTAATTAGCCAAAGGTAATCAATTAGCCAAAGGCAATGATAGGTGCTAGTTCATAGACTATATGCCTTCATGATTATGGAATTAAGAACAGATTAGGGGGCTGGAGCTATGTGTGTTATCATCCCCATCCCGATTTTCCTGAAGGACAATTCAATTGGCAGAACAGGGCTGGGGGACCTCCAGATGTTGTCAAAGACTCCAGCTCCCATCAGCCCCAGCCAGTAGAGCCAATGGTAACAGATGATGGGTGTTACAGGATAGCACGAAACTCTTCATCTCAGTGTCTTAAGTTTGAGCGCCACGTTGGACAAAGATTCCTGCACCGCAGGGAAACCAAAATGCTTGTTTACAAAGCTATTGTACTACCAACCTTACTGTATGCTTGTGAAACATGGACCACTTATAATCGCCATCTACAACTCCTTGAAAGATTCCATCAATGGTGTCTCTGAAAAATTTTACCCTCACTTGGGAAGACAGGCGAACTAATGCCAGTGTACTGGAAAAAGCAGCAATCACCTGTGTAGAAGCAATGATACTTCAACATCAACTTAGTTGAACTGGTCATGTTGTTCAGATCCCTGATTATCATCTTCCAAAGCAACTACTCTATTCCAAACTTAAAAATGGAAAGTGTAATGCCGGTGGTCAACAAAAGAGGTTTAAAGACTCTCTCAAGGCAAATCTTTAAACACTGGCCTGCAAGTGCTCCAATTGGAGATCAGCCTTCACCAAAGGTGCCATGGGCTTTGAAGACGCTCAAACTCAGGACGAAAGAGAGAAATGCGCTAAGAGGAAGGCACGCTTGGCAAATCCACACCGTGATCAACTCCCGCCCGGAAACCAATGTCCCCACTGTGGAAGGACGTGTGGATCCAGAACTGGCCTCCACAGTCACTTACAGACTCACTATTAAAACGGTGTTTATGGAAGACAATCTTACTCCACTACGAAGGATTGCCAAAGAAGAAGGAACTATATGACCCTGCTGCAGGGCCAGATTTAAGTTTGATGAGGCCCTAAGCTACTGAAGGTAATGGGGCCCTTTATATGTCCAGCTGTCCTTTGTCTATAGCTGTCAACTTTTCCCTTTTCTTGCAAAGAATCCTATTCGGAATAAGGGAATTTCCCTTAAGAAAAGGGAAATGTTGACAGCTATGCCTTTATCAACAACAAATTGTTGCTTTTTTTGTGTTGAATATATGCTATATGGTAACTTATGGACCTAATAGGTATCTAAAGCCATTTGCACTTAACAAAATATGTATTTTATCAAAGTAATTGTTGAAAAGTCCATGCAGAATGCAAAGTCCATGCAGAATGTAGGCACCCTATACAGTGGTACCTTGGGTTACATACGCTTCAGGTTACATACGCTTCAGGTTACAGACTCCGCTAACCCAGAAATAGTGCTTCAGATCAGTGGCGTAGCGTGGGTTGTCAGCACCCGGGGCAAGGCAAGTAATTTGCGCCCCCTAACCCGTGGATTTGCGCCCCCTAACCCGTGGATTTGCGCCCCCTAACCTGTGGATTTGCCCTAACCCCAGATGTTGCGCCCGGTGCGGCCGGCACCCCCTGCACCCCCCACGCTACGCCACTGCTTCAGATTAAGAGCTTTGCTTCACGATAAGAACAGAAATCAGGCTCCGGCGGCGCGGCAGCAGTGGGAGGCCCCATTAGCTAAAGTGGTGCTTCAGGTTAAGAACAGTTTCAGGTTAAGAACGGACCTCCAGAACGAATTAAGTACTTAACCCGAGGTACCACTGTACAGTATATAGAAATAAACAAACCGGTGGTATTTTAGGGAGCAGGCTAGCAGGCGGGGCCCATTACTTACATCATAGGAGCCTACGCAACACAAAACACTGTTACTGTTATTTTATTTATTTTTCATCTTATATTTTGGAAATGTACATCCATTTTTTTCCCGGGGGGGGGGCAAGAGAGTGGGTCCCTAAGCTACAGCTTGTTTAGCTTATACGTAAATCCGGCACTGCATATGACCCTTCCAAGAGTCGCAGCAATACCTGCCGGTCCACCTGGAGCTTCCTGGCCTAAGGCGCGCCAGCACATCTACTTTAATGGCCGGAGTTCCCTTCCACCAACCTTTGGTTACAATGCTAGGGGCCGGGCAGCTCGTTGTGATCAGCCGGGAGCCCCCTTTTCCCGCCCCTCGTCTCCTTCTCCCTTTCCCTCGACTTCATTCATCCTGTCCCTCCTCCTCCTCCCTTTTCCCCTCCCCCTAACCGCCTCCTCCCTGCCGGCGGTGGCTTCCTGGCTGGCTGGCTAGCTGGCTCTGCAACTTCCAGCTGGAGCTGCCTGGCTGGGTCTCCGCCTCTGCCTCTGCCGCTGCTGCTGCCGGCGCTGCCGGCTGGGGGAAAATGTCCGAGCGAGGCGGCTTCTACAAGCAGGAGTTGAACAAGACGGTGTGGGAGGTGCCCCAGCGCTACCAGCACCTGACCCCGGTGGGCTCGGGGGCGTACGGCTCCGTATGGTAGGTGGAGGCTGCTCCGGAAAGGGGGGGCTGCTTTGCTGCGCATAGGCAGCAGCAGCAGGAGAAGGTGTGCGGTGAGCCCCGGGCAAAAAGGCTCCGCTCCAGCCGTGCAAAAGGTTCTTTTCCCCGCTGGAGCTGCGGGAAGCAAACAATGCCAGCCAGCAGCTGGGCGCTGGAGCCGCTAGGCCTGCCTGGTGCATGGAAAGCCAGCGCGCACAATGGGTGCGCCCCTAGACAAGGCGTCCCCGGGATCTGCATGCGTCCAGGGTTTTGTGTTTTGTGTTTTTTTGCGGGGGGGGGGGACGACACCTGCGCGGATTGTACGCACAGGCAGGTTCTACGCAGCTGCCCTAGTTAAGGCCCCCTCCCCGGGTGCACGGGCGAAAGCCAGCCACCCTAGGCATGTATACCCACCGGGTAGGTGGGTGCGGAGGCCACTTAGGGTGTTAGGTACACCTACGGGAAGGTACGCTCGGAGGCAGGTGCGATCCCGCATCTGGTAGCTGCTTGGTGCGAACGCAGGTGCACAGGTGATGGATTGACATGTGTGGCTTAGTAGGCCAGGCGAAGGGGGTGGACGTTGGGTGTGCATACAGGAAAATGTGCATATGCAATGTACAAACCGATCATATTTCACCAAGGATAATAATTTTGGGGTGGAAAACAAGAGATTCAAGGTGGGTTAGGTGCTCTGAACAGGAACAGGTCCATGGGTATACACACACACACACCTATATAGAATAGTAAGAAAATGCATCATTTTTGTCTTGCATTTTTGTGTGTATGTGCAGACAGCTGCTGCAAGGTGCATAGTATAACAATAGGTAGCACCCCTTCCCATGGAGTGCATGTGTGCGTTGACCTATAGCCCTGTGCTGTGTGTCACGGGTGGGGGTGGGCTGTGCTCATTCTCCTGCCTTTTCCCTGCCCCCACCGGGAGTTCGGAGCACACACAGAGAGAGGCGAAGCTGAGCTGCGCTCTCACAATGCCATTCAGCCTGGAATTCCTCGTGGGTTGCTAAGGGTAACCCTGGGCCATGCCAGCCATTGAAAGAGGTTTCCCCAGACTATTTTTAAGACCTCCTCCTCCTCACCACCACCACCAAACTGCACGGCTGAATGGGACTGTGGCAGGGCGGTGCTTTTATTCGCACAGCCATTGTGGTCAAGTCCTAAGTGTGCTTTTAGGAACTGGGAGCAGCGCATGAAAATACAGGCTGACTTCCCCTCCGGATGAGCGAAATATTAAACCTACTTCTCTGCCATCACCTTTGAGTAGCTTCAAAAGCATTGCCTGGCAGCTTAAGATAAGCTTCCTCTGAAACGGTGTTTCCCAAACTTGAGTCGCCAGCTGCTTTCGGACTACAATTCCCATTATCCCTGGTAGCTATGGATGATGGGAGTTGTAGTCTGAAAAACAGTTTGAGAAACTCTGAAATAATGTTATCCTTTTTCCAGTCACTCATGACATTGCATGCAACATTGGCTGGCATTGTGTTGGCTCTGTTGTGCAAGCCAGAAGCATTGATTTAGCAATAGTTATGATGTTAGCTGTCACTTGTTTAGCGCATGGTCGGAAGCAACCAAAGTTGTGGAAACTAGGCAGCGTCTCTGGGCCTGGTGAGTGCCTGGGTGAGTGATTGGTACTCACCATGAGTCCATGGTGTTATCCAGGTTATCCAGCAGTTATCCAGGTTTCAGGCAGGGTTCTCTCCCAATTCCATGTGGAGATGCTGGGAATTGAAGTTGGGAACTTCTGCAGCCAAGCTCTACCACTAAGCTATGGCCCTTCCCTAAAAACAGAATCCTATGTATAGTCCATGGAGGAAAAGGATGTGTGGAGGACAGAAATGCAATAAAGACAAGAATATATAAATACTGTCTTCTTTAGCGAACACTCGTAGCCGAGTAAGAATGTCTTCCATAAACAATGAGTCCGTAAGTGACTGTGGAGGCCAATTCTGGATCTACACGTCCTTCCACAGAGGGGACATTGGTTTCCAGGCAGGAGTTGATCATGGTGTGGATTTGCCAAGCGTTCCCTCCTCCTAGCACGTTTCTCCCTTGCGTCCTGAGTTCAAGTGTCTTCAAAGCCCTTGGCACCTTTGGTAAAGGCTGTTCTCCAACTGGAGCGCTCGCAGGCCAGTGTTTCCCAGTTGTCAGTGTTTATACTACATTTTTAAAGATTTGCCTTGAGAGAGTCTTTCAACCTCTTTAAATACTGTAAGGTTTTCACCGCAACCTCCTGCTTTTGTGTGGTCAGTAGAAAGCAGAGGATGGGAGTGAGTTGACCGTTTCCATAATGGAGGGAAGTAAGCACTGGTGTTTCCCCAAAGATGCGCTGGGACTGCTGCTGTTTTGCTTCTTCATGAACCATTTGGAGCAGTGAAGTGTGTGGATGAAGCCAGTTCATTCATAAGGGTGAAACCCGAAGCTGCCTATGGGGAAAAAACGGCCAAAGGATCTGTCCAAACTTTGCGATTTGACAGCAAAAACGGCAAAGAGGATAGTCAGGTAACAAAGGGCCCAAAACACTGAGTCATAAACAATTTGCAGCGTTACCTGTGCACCCTGACGGGGTCCTGTGAGTGTACAGGAAATGCGCCTTGAGGTTGTGGTAAACACCTTGCCGGAGGCATCAACTCAGCGTGCAGTGATAGGAAATACTCTTGCGTTTCAAATTTCTTGGAAAGGGCCTGAAAGTAAAGTGCCGGCCTCGTAATGCTTTTATGTAAGTCTTTGCTGCGGCCACAATAGGAATATGTGAGCAGCATAGGAGCAGGGCTGTCTTAAGCATATCTGGCGCCGTGGTGCAAAGATCCCTCCAGCGCCGCCCCCCCCCCATGTTTCCCGGAGTTGTTGACCTTTTCCCAATCCTCTGCAAGGATCACTCTCCTCCTGCAGAGGCTTGGGAGGCAAGCTACACGCCCGCCAGCCATATGGTTGGCGGGGCGCAGCTGGCAGGCCTGCAGGGAAAGGGGAGGCCACCGGCAAAGCCGCGCAGCTCCCCCATTTGCTGGGGCGCCCCGAGAGGCCGGCGCCCTGTTGCAACACATCACTAAACCCAATGGGAAAGACAGCTCTGCGTAGGAGCCAACTCCAGGGGCCTGTGGGTGCTTGGGCACCCACAATAATATAATTGGGGGGGCACCCACAAAGTCAAAGAGAGAGGCAGGCAGCTTCTGCGGCGCTGCCTCTGAAAGAGAAGCAGTTCAGCTTTGCCCTCCTCAGCCAGCAAGCGAGTCACCCTTGAGGGGGGGGCAGGTTCGGACAAGGAAACAGGGTCTCTCTGCCCCCGAGTCTAAGCACCTCCCCGCCCCAGAAGTGGAAATGAGCAGAAGCCCAGCAAAGGAAGAATGGATACAAAACCATATGGAATATGCAGAAATGGGCAAACTTGCCGAAAGAATAAGAAATCAAGATAACAAACTTTTTATAAAAGAATGGAACTGGTTTATTGAACATTTACAGATAAATTGCAAACAGATAAAAACATTTAGCAGGATTATTGTAACAACCTGCAGTTTTTTAAGAGTATGTGTTTACCGTAGATAATTAAATGGGCAAGTTAAATGAATTTGGATATGCAGAATATATTTTAAAAAATAAATTCAAGGAACTGCAGAATGAGGAGGAAGGAAGTCAAATTTTGAAATGTTAAATTGACTGTAAAACTAGTGAAAATGTATACATTTGAAAAGTATAAATAAAAAACTAAGAAAAGAGAAAAGGGTGTCTCACTGGCTGTGGAAAGGAGGAGGAAGAGGAGCTGCTGCTGCAACTTGGACGTTGACATCACACACACAAACACACACCAACCTGCATATAGTGTTACATGTACTACATGCATGTGTGTGCATGTGACATCACACTTCCATGTTATGGCTGTGGGCACCCACAATCGTGAGGGCAAGATGGCTCTCCTGGTGAGGAACAGTGCAACATCTCGCAGCAATGGGAAACCTACAGGAAAGAACAAATACTTCTATCTGGAGTTTGGAGATCTTTTCCCTGTGAGGAGAGTTGAAAGGATCAGAAGCTTTTTAGTCTACAAAATACAGGATTAAAGGGGAATTTTTAAAATAACTATTAAGAACAGTATGAAGAAAGTGGTTAGAGACCAACTTTCCCCTCTTACACGTTGAGCAGCAATAGGCTCAGAACAGCCCAAAATGAAGTGCTGTTTCAGGAAATGCAGTATCAATTTATGGAACTCAGGGTGCCACAGGATGGTACTGGCTGCTAGCTAAAACAGCTTTGAAAGGAGAACAGAGAAATTCAAGAGGATAGTTATATCAGCAGTTCTGTGTCCTGAATAGCTCATTGGGAATGTCCATGTTCAGAGGCCGTATACTAGAAGCTGGGCTTACAAGGAGAACAAGTGTTGCCTTCAAGGCCTGCTTGCGGGTTTCCCTGAGGCATTTGCTAGTCCCTGCTGAAAGCAAGGTGCAAGCTAGATGAACCAGATGGTCTGATCGAACAGGCCTCTTCTTATGTTCTTAAGTTCTTATTTGGCTTTTGTAAGGATTACCGAGCAGTGATTTGAGTACTCAAAATGTATTATGTAAATGCCAAATGTTTTCGATGGCTGGGGTTGCTACTCGAGTGAGCACAATCATTGCGTGGCGATTTTTGCTGGGACTTCATGGTGTGATGCTGGTGAAACTGGGAAGCTCTCAGTTAGCCTCTTTTGTCTGCCTTAAAGCACAAGGCTTGCTCAAACTATGATGCCACAGGTGTCCAGGACGTGTTAAAGAACTCATTCGCATGAGATTGCTGTTGTGTGATGGGTAAAAACAACACCATCTGAATCCACTCACTGTGCTTCAAGCAAAGGTATAATTTGGTCATGCGGTTTAAGAGGGTGCAGAAGGTTGAAAGCCCTGGCTGTGGGATATGATGTGGTGGAAAAGCCCAGAATTCATTGTGTTGGCATGTGCATGCATTCGGTTTCTTGTGTGTTGCAGACAAAAGCAGTATTTTAGTGTCTCTGTTTTCAC